TCATTGTCCTGTTAAAAAACAAATGATAGTCCCACTAAGCCCAAACCAGATGGAGTGGCGTATTGCTGCAGAATGCTGTGGTAGCCATGCTGGTTAAGTATGCCTTGAATTCTAAATAAATCACAGACAGCATCACCAGCAAAGCACCCCCACACCATAACACCTCCTCCTCCATTATTTACGGTGGGAACTATACATGCGGAGATCATCCGTTCACCTACACCGTGTCTCACAAAGACACAGCGGATGGAACCAAAAATCTCAAATTTGGACTCCAGACCAAAGGACAGATTTCCATCGGTCTAATGTACATTGCTCGTGTTTCTTGGCCCAAGCAGGTCTCTTCTTCTTATTGGTGTCCTTTAGTAGTGGTTTCTTGGCAGGAACTCGACTATGAAGGCCTGATTCACACAGTACCCTCTGAACAGTTGACATTGAGATGTGTCTGTGACTTGAACTCTGTGAAGCATTTATTTGGGCTGCAATTTCTGAGGCTGGTAACTCTAATGAACTTATCCTCTGCAGCAGAGGTAACTCTGGGTCTTCCATTCCTGTGGCGGTCCTCATGAGAGCCAGTTTCATCTAACGCTTGATAGTTTTTGAGACTGCACTTGAAGAAACGTTCAAAGTTCTTGAAATGTTCCGTATTGACTGACCTTCATGTCTTAAAGTAATGATGGACTGTCGTTTCTCTTTGCTTATTTGAGCTGTTCTTGCCATAATATGGACTTGGTCTTTTACCAAATAGGGCTATCTTCTGTATACAGTGGTTTGCGAAAGTATTCACCCCCCTTGGCATTTTTCCTATTTTGTTGCCTTTCAACCTGGAATTAAAATGGATTTTTGGGGGGTTTGTATCATTTGATATATACAATATGCCTACCACTTTGAAGATGCAAAATATTTTATATTGTGAAACAAACAAGAGATAAGACAAAAAAATAGAAAACTTGAGTGTGCATAACTATTCACCCCATCATTTAGCGCCATCCATCATTCTTTCAATTCTGACCAGTTTCCCAATCCCTGCAGATGAATAACATCCCCACAGCATGATGCTGCCACCACCATGCTTCACTGTGGGGATGGTGTTCTCGGGGTGATGAGAGGTGTTGGGTTTGCGCCAGACATAGCATTTTCCTTGATGGCCAAAAAGCTCAATTTTAGTCTCATCTGACCAGAGTACCTTCTTCCATATGTTTGGGGAGTCTCCCACATGGCTTTTGGTGAACATTATGTTTGCTTATTTTTTTCTTTAAGCAATGGCTTTTTTCTGGCCACTCTTCAGTAACGCCTAGCTCTGTGGAGTGTACGGCTTAAAGTGGTCCTATGGACAGATATTCCAATCTCCGCTGCGGAGCTTTGCAGCTCCTTCAGGGTTATCTTTGGTCTCTTTGTTGCCTCTCTGATTAATGCCCTCCTTGCCTGGTCCGTGAGTTTTGGTGGGCGGCCCTCTCTTGGCAGGTTTGTTGTGGTGCCATATTCTTTCCATTTTTTAATAATGGATTTAATGGTGCTCCGTGGGATGTTCAAAGTTTCGGATATTGTTTTATATCCCAACCCTGATCTGTACTTCTCCACAACTTTGTCCCTGACCTGTTTGGAGAGCTCCTTGGTCTTCATGATGCCGCTTGCTTGGTGGTGCCCCTTGCTTAGTGGTGTTGCAGACTCTGGGGCCTTTCAGAACAGGTGTATATATACTGAGATCATGTGACAGATCATGTGACACTTAGATTGCACACAGGTTGACTTTACTTAACTAATTATGTGACTTCTGAAGGTAATTGGTTGCACCAGATCTTATTTAGGGGCTTCATAGCAAAGGGGGTGAATACATATGTACGCACCTCTTTTCCGTTATTTATATTTTAGAATTTTTTGAAACAAGTTTTTTTTTCATTTTACTTCAAAATTTGGACTATTTTGTGTATGTCCATTACATGAAATCCAAATACAAATCAATTTAAATTACAGGTTGTAATGCAACAAAATAGGAAAAACACCAAGGGGGATGAATACTGTTGCAAGGCACTGTACCTTGTCACAACACAACTGATACATAATTCCATACATGTTATTTCATAGTTTTGATGTCTTCACTATTATTCTGCAATGTAAAAAACCCTTGAATGAGTTGGTGTGTCCAGACTTTTGACTGGTAGTGTAGGTGTAAATGTGTTTCTATCTAATGGGTGGCCCGTGATAGTTGGTGTTAAATTGAGCAGGACTAGTGAAATCACCTATCTGCTGTGCAAGTCATAAGATAAAAAGTGTAGCCTGTGCTGTGTGTGTAATGAGCCTGTCGTTGTGGTCGCTAGTGGCGAGCCATCAGCCACCAAGCGGCCCGGACATCCCCGACATCCCCCGTCTCCCGGATCACACTTCACACATCCATCATCCTCAGCAACTAATCTTCCCTCCAAAAAACGACGCTTCTATCGAGTCTCAGGGATCCGCTCCCGTGCGTTGACAAACCCGCAAGGAAATGACTTATTTATCATTCACGGCTGGGTGATTACTGAGCACTCGTCTTTAGATGGGGTCTCAGAACTTCATTTTTAAGTCTCTTCCTTGGAACACAAAACTGGGATGAGAAGCACGTTGCCTTGATAATTTCCCATGGGTGAGGCCCGTTGAATACTACTAGGCTGTGTCTAATTTGTCTGGAAAGGTGGTAGAGATACTCAAGAAGCCTGCTGGTTGATGTTTAGTGGCTCATGAAATCTCAACACAAATGTTTTCAACACTTATAATTCTCTAGAACTTTGGACAGGAAAATGAGGGCAAGTTATAGCAAATGTCTCAAATTTCTACTGGCAGCATCAAATAGGGACTGTTTCATAGCGTTAAGAATCAACTTATTTCTCTATCAGGAGGGTTATCAATGTTTTAATTTACCTTGGAAGGAAAACGAAGATTGCAATCGTCTACTTTCAGTCTAACTGGAGGTTTTGCCTAAAAAAATAAGACTAACAGCCTCATTAAATGCACTGAATCAATATGCAATTAAAAGACAAACAAGGTATTGATAGTATACTAAAGATTCCTGAGAATCAGTCAACCAGGACATTAAAACACAAGTGAGAAATCCATATATAATTAATAAGATCACAGACCAGAGTAAGCGATCCCTAACCCCCTGTGGCCACCCTCACAGTTACAAACATTCCAAAAACCAAATGTTTACATAATTTGTCAGATATTGCTTAGGTAGAGTATTTGGTCTCAACCAAAAAGCTAACTTAATTCTAAAGGGGCTTGAAAGCCTTCCAAACTTGTGTCAATTCTGATGCTGCTTTCTCCATGTCTGCTTATCACTGGCTCTGCCATCGTCCTGTCAGCCTCACACCCACGTGGGGACTGATGGGAGGGGCTGGATGGGGATGGTCTGCATGTCTCAGCAGCACCAGAGACATGAATACCCCATTCCTCACTCCAGCCTCCATCCCAACAGAAGCACACTCAGGGAAGGTAATAGGTTGACATTAGGGTGAAGAGATCTCAGTCTCAAGGGAATGGGAAGTACTGCACTCTCTCTTTTAATGGCTTTTGATATCAACACCATTTGAAGACCCCAATCAGCCCAGTCCGCCGTGGCACGTGCAGAGACACTGCAGATGCATTAGCATGACAATAACAGCTATACGACTGAGACAAAACAACAGGGTCACATTTCTCATTTTTTGTTGCCCCAAAACTGCAGAAGCTGGAGCCCATTTCCTAGAAAGGCCCCCTGAGACACTCCATAGTGGCCCTCTACGGCTTTCCATAAGAGCATCCATTACACTAAATCCTTTTCCTGCATCCCCCAGAACAAAGCTAACCTCTCAGATTGGCTGGTGGTGCTGTAACTCTGCTGTGAGTGTGTACAGACTGGCGATAAAGACTGACAGTTTGACCTGATCATACAAAAGACACAGTTGAGTTTACCTACAGTTTGCCATCATAAAAATGCATTACAGCGAATTAAGCTGAAAGAAAATGAGGAGGAAGAGGAAGAGGAATATTCACTTCATCACAGTGTCTGTCTTGCATGACAATCAATATGAATCTAACCAACCCAACAGCAATTCTGACTTTGATAATTGCGCTTCTGAATAAATTAAATTGTGCTCAAGGTGTGGCATGACCAACATAATGATAATTTTGTTGATATGAGCACGGGAGAGAGAGAGAGAGTAAAAAACTAGTGATGGAGATTATGCAAAGCTAGCTAGTCCATTAGCAGGTTCAAAGAGATGAGCAGAGCTGTGACCCCCGTATGGTGTGTAAATATGGTGATGCGTACCAGCCGTGCATTAGAGGACGTGCAAGGAGGCGGAACAGAACAGAAGAGTGAGAGATCTGAGCTGCCTGTAAACTTTAATTTGTCAGTGGCTATTGACTGTGTCAGGATGAGTGGGGAGGCAGGGCTGTGGACCATCAGGATCACAGCTGCATCAGGAGCTCCCACAGAAATACACAGCCAAGAGTTACACTCAGGTCACTCAAGCCAGGTCAATGTTCTCTCTCCAAAGATAGATGCAGAGTACATCTAAGAGCCTTGGACTTCTTGGAGCAGTTCATATTCATATGGACCACTGTACTTTTAATTTCAGCTCTTCAGAAACACAGATACCACATTTCCCAATGCTCCATTTTTTGCTAGCCTGTAAACCACACAGCTGAGAAACTACTGACAGGGAGATATGTCTGCTGTCTGAATGCTGTGGAAATGGGTGACATACTTAGGAGGGTTCAATAGGTAACATGTCATCTTCTGTGTTCCATGTGCCAGAGAGAACAGAGGCCTGGCACACATCTAGTGGCATGATGATCAGTAAATAGGGAGACACATCTTATAAATAATTGACTAGACTGAAGTTTTACTGTGACACTGCTGCTGTCATCTGATATGTAAAGAGGGTAAGAGAGAGAGAGAGAGAGAGAGAGAGAGAGAGAGAGAGAGAGAGAGACCAATGAGATGCAATGGGATCATAAGACAACCAGAACTGAGAGTGATGCTGGGGGAGGATGAGCTGCGGCAGACGGAGAGTCAAACCTACACAACGTCACACAAGCAAATGGAGAGCCACCCCCCTAAGTGAGTCACCCTGCGGATTCTACCTTAAAATAACACTGTTTTATGATCTGTACTCCTTTCATATGATAGGCCTATATGATTTTAGAAGGTGTTTGAGAAGCACCCAAATACCCCCAAGAAAAAGTAGGGCATCCCAGCAGGTAGTCCTAGTGTTCTACTTAGGTCTTACATATGGCATTATCACTTCAAAAAGCAAACATCTTAAGCATTTTAGATTGCAGAGAGGCTCAGGAATAATATTTGACTGTGAGGGAGATTTCTCACGCAAATCTTCAAGAGAGGAGCCTTATTGAAGATGGGAGAGGATTTTGTTATTAGAACATTATGTGCCTCTGGAGCATACTGAATCTCACAGATAGTGGTGAGAAAATGATTAATAACCATAATCAGAGCAGTATCTAAATATAGACTCCCATTAACCAGCTGGCCTTCATAAATGTGAATAAGCCATCAGGTCAAATGGGATAAAAGACTGACAGGGCTGAGAGACAAACTGAGAGACGGATATTGTGGGCCCTGCCTTGAGTCATTGGGTCAGAACGGTCTGCATCTCAGACGGTCCACCTAAAATAATGCATTGGCACTGTGATGTGGCCCCATGAAAACAGAGTACACATTGAGAACAAAGAAAGACTGACTAACTAGTGGAATATCACTCAAACTACAGCCAATTCAATTCGATACCATTATTTCACATTGAAGCCACATAAAGACTTTCACAAGAAGGAGGTCAAGCCAAGCAACACCTGTTTTCATTGTATATAGAACACATCTGAGATGACTCCATAATAAACTATATATGAATATACTCTTATCTCATTCCTCATACCTATGCACAGCTGGGCCCGGGCAGAGAACAACACATGAATCAGAGTAGTAATCTATCCCTGTCCGCCCTCACAGAACAAGAAACATTAATACTGCATTTCATCTCACCTGCTGGGTGGCTCTATGGAACTAGTGACTGCAGGTGACAGCCACTGTGATGTTGAATGAACTGCTGGAGCCACCTGCCTCTGCCCTTAGCTTATGATGGTCTGTGTTTCTCTGGTCTCCACGGTGATTGACAGGTATGGGATAGCAAACAAAGCAATGCAATCAAACAGCGAAAGCGGACGTGGGGGACCTATCCACATGCAGCAGGATCAAAGAAGAGACATGAACTACACTAGAGCAGACCTGCACTGCAATATTGATGCTTTACTGGGGAAACAGTGGACAAAGAGACATGACACTCTTACCTCTCTATGTATGTTGTGCTAGGTTGGAAGTTGGAACCACAGGTGTATATCATGTTTATATTCATAGCCTCAGTCGCCTGACTTGATTGATGAGGCAGACTGTGTACAGAGAATATGGAGAATATGGACTGCTGGAGAATATAGAGTCTAGACTGTCCAGATGCTGCCCTCCTCTCCATGACTGATGTTTAGAGTGGGGCGCTAGCTATGCAGAGGTCATGGGTTCAAATCCAACTGGGACCACAAACACATACTACACATGTAAGTACTCACTGCAGAGTAAGTAACTTTGGATAAAAGCATCTGCTAAGCAGCTTACATTATTGTATTATATAATTAAAGCTGGTTACAGATCTTGGAGTGAGAATGATAAGTAGCTGACTGAGACTATTGCTGAGGCTGGTCAAGACCTTGTGGCCTCTGGGTAGGCTTAGCAGTTGTAGATATTGGTGGCCAGTAACTTACTTGACCCAGTACTCATTACTTGTTTTATATGAATGCAGTCAGACCAGTGGAGCGTGGAGTGAGATTTGTAAGCTGCAGTGTTTACCTGATATAAAAATGTTTATGAATTATTGATGTTTCTCAAAGAGCTCAGTTTGGTAAATGAGAGTATGTTGTTGCATGACTTGAAACTGAATTGCCAGCAACAATACCCAAGGTACTGTAGGTAGGAAAACAGTCTGATATTCAGTGTGTGTGTGTGTGTGTGTGTGTGTGTGTGTGTGTGTGTGTGTGTGTGTGTGTGTGTGCCTGTGTGTTCTCTTAGCAGGAGATATAAAGCCTATCAACATAAAGCAGGCTCTGTATTGTAATCTCCCTCTGATTTCTCCAACCACTTACCTTCACATCTGTGGGAACACTGGGGCTTCACAGAGGAGCCTGAAAACAAAAGCATAAACTGTGTGTCAGAATGGCTCTGTCTGAAATAAATCAATACTGCATGACCGTTGATTTTCATTTTGATCAATTTTTAAACCATCTAAATGCGAACCCATTCATAACACGTTTCAAGTGTTACATGGAACCTATGAGTAATTCATGAATTATGTACTGTGGTAGAAATTATAGGGCAATCAAAAACATGTTTTTACAGATTGATAGGGGGTCTCTGAAAATATCTCTGAAATACTAAAATATACTCTATGAAACTGTGAATCACATTAATGATCAAATTGTCATAACCTAGCCCACTCTATTATGATGGGTCGGGGGCCACGGGAAGGTGCCCTGCATGCCCGTTTGGTAATCTGGCCCTGTTTTGTTTTTTTTCACCAATTAGATCTGAAAAATATCTGACGTCAAAAGACAAATTAGTGGAATAAAGATCAGAATTGTGCTGCTTGTCAAAGTGCAGTTGAAATAGCTTAGCGCTAGACAATTGTTTTTTTAATGATGGATTTATGCTGCATTCATAAAAAAGTGGGAGGTGGGAATTTACCAGTTGTGAAGTCATAAATGCTTTCGTGTGCTTTGAACTCGTTGAGAAACGCCAATTGGCTAATGGCCAACCAGCTGCATAAACCAGAAAGCTAAAAGTACAGCTATCATGCTTGTAAACAAATGAGTGTTAACAAAAAAATATATAGATTGTTGTTTATAAATAATGTTTTGTTGTTGCATTTAACTGCCGAAAATGCTATTATCGCGGTAATTTCCTTAATAGGTGATGTCAGAGGTCAGCATGTGGGAGAAGTGGGAGCTCATGCCACGTTCATGTGCTAGTCCAAATTAGAAAACTCCGAAATCTCCGACTTGCTGACTGGTTGAACACGGCACTTGTATAACTAACTACAACCAGTTAGCAAATTGAACATTTGAGAGTTTCCTAGTTTACTAGCACTTGAACGCAGCATCAGGATGATATAGGACTTTCCCACTAGTAATTACCAGTTGGAGGGCCGTTCAAGTGGATCTTTCCCAGTCGTATGTGGTAAATTCCCACTTCCCACTTGGTTACACGAACGCAGCATGAGTCTGACCATTTACAATCAATGTCATTGAACACAGCTGTTGCATAAACTCGCTACATGGCAGCTGTACATTTCATTGAATATCAGTGGAGTTATAATTTAGAGCTGAAACGTAGCTTTCTTTCTGTTCTTTTGCAGGGTTAGCATTCATTGTGGCTTCTCAAATAACGCAGGTAAGTAAGCTACACTCAATGATTTATATATACATAATTGGCTGCAGTAGGTTACTGCCAGTGCAAGGTTTGCTACTAGTGGTTGCTGCCTGGTGTCATAGATGTAACATAGTAAATGTAAATCCGGGACACTCAAATTAGTATGATATGTTACGCTTTGGTATGGTTACATAAGATAAGCTTACTTAAAGCAAAATTGTAAGGAGGGTGGGCAGGAATGTCTAGCAACTCAAAGGTTGCGTGTTCGAATCTCATCATAGACAACTTTAACATTTTAGCTAATTAGCAACTGTGAAACTACTTTTTGACTACTTGACAACTACTTAGCATGTTAACTAACCTTAACCCTTTAACCTAACCCATAGCCTAGCTAACATTAGCGTTAGCCACCTAGCTAATGTTAACTCCTACAAAATGGAATTCGTAACATATCATACGTGTTGCAAATACGTAACATTATACGAAATGGATGGACATCCACAATTTTAATATATCCAAAATTAAATGTAACATATCTTACTAAATGGATGGAGACAGATTTACTATATATCGTTATGTCTACCCCTGAGTCCAGGTCACTGATTAGCCTATGGGTTTCCATCAACATTGTTGATGGGCGGGTACAGCGTGTTTTGTAGAACGACAAATATTCCATAGATCTGTTTTAAAATCTGTTTTAGGCGGCTGAAAGTAATGCCAGAAGAGACCAATATTACTGCAAAACCTGTCGTCTCAATGCCTTACAACTTGAGGTCCAAATTGCCCGTGAAAGTGGCCAATCCTTCATATCAGGAAGAATGTGCAGTTCCAAAGGTAACGTTATGACAGATGCGTTGATATTTATGGTAGGCTAATAGTGAACTGTCATTGGTTATACTGGGGTACAAGAATGTTGTCATTCTACATGTGGCAGTCTCTTCTTGGGACAGTTAGCCATTCTTATTTGGCTACTGTGAAGGCACAATCTGGGATATTTCTAGCCCTTATGTATGGCCTTGGGTTCTCAAGAGCTAGGATATTTCCTTCTGTTCAGTAGATATTTCACTTAATTTATGCCCATTGGGTATTGAAGAATATTATGAATGCCTCATGTCTTCCACATCTTAACCAAACATATAAATTGGACATTTTAGTATTTGTAAATATACTTTATAACAAACCAAGTGACGGGGCTACTGTTGGATTGAAACAAACTCACGATTGTGCTTTTAAATGTTGAATTGAAGGTCCAGACCAAGTCAGAGGAGAATGTTTCCTTACCAGGAAAACCTGCCACCTCATATGGCCTGAGGTCCAGGGTGCCTTTGGGAAATGCAGCAAACAAACTGAACAACAACGCCAAAGGAATTAAAACAAATGTAAATATTTCTCTTTTGTCAATTAATATATTTATTACTACAGTTTGGTTTTTGGTGCAACTTTTGAATGATTATCTGCATTTTATTTTCCTGAGAAACAGACCGGTGTTCACGTCAAACCAGCCCAACGTAAGCAGAGTGCTACTGAAAGAGTCCGTGTTGTTATTTCAAAGGAAGACAAGGAGAACACTGGGGCTGGCAACTGTGACCTGGTGAGATTTCAGGAGAAAAGGTTGAAGCCGTGCTTGGCTGTAGTCAGATATGCATTACTCTTCTATGTAAATGTTTCATGTTAATCCAATATGCTCAAATCAGAGTTTTCATCTGTTCATGCGCAGTAGTTGTCTGTAGTTCAGTTTCACAAAGACTTCCATCCACATCTCCATATCTTGTTGTCCTTTAGGCCAAGCCCATTCCAGCTGCCCCTGAGGAGCCTCAGAGCCATGAGGCCACTCGGAACGAGGGGCTCAATGTGCCACAGGCCTTCTCACATGCCCTGCTCAACATCCCAGATGTGGACTCTGCAGACGCAGGCGACTCCTCGCTGTGCAGTGACTATGTGAAAGACATTTATGCTCATCTAAGGAACCTGGAGGTTTTCAAATTGGACAAATCTCTACTGTCATCTATCTCTTGTTTTGTTCTGAGACTAATTACATTTAATGTGATTTTTTATTTTTAAAAAAAAAAAAATTTGGGGGGGGGGGGGGGGTGTTGCCAATAAGCGGCAACACCTGTTTCCCCTTTTCACTACATTAACCATTATTAGTCATGATCCTGAGTCTCATCACAGACCCCTCTCTTCTCAATGTCTGACAGGTTGCCATGGCTATCAAACCATGTTATCTGCAGGGGTGTGATGTGACAGGGAGCATGCGGAGTATTCTAGTTGACTGGCTGGTACAGGTCCAGAGTCAGTTCAGACTGCACCAGGAGACCCTCTACATGACTGTTGGGATCATTGACCGCTTTCTCCAGGTATAGCTTGTTTTTCCTCTGATGGTCAGATACATTTGAGTTATTTATATATATTTTTTATCCATTGTTTCTTTTTTGCTCAGGACAATCCAGTGCCAAAGAAGTCTCTGCAATTGGTTGGTGTCACTGCGATGCTCATCGCTTCCAAGTACGAGGAAATCTCTCCTCCCGTGGTGGAGGACTTTGCCCATACAACAGACTTCACATACTCCTGTGCTGAGATACGCTTGATGGAAATGACCATTCTGAAAGCCTTGAACTATAAACTGGGACGACCACCCCCAGTTCACTTTCTAAGGAGAGCTGCCAAGGTTGGGAAGGTGCGTTTTTGAATGTAATACAGCTCTCCTGAAGTGAACTCACCCAACTTGCTTCATGCTATAACTGACAACCTTATTTTTGTATTCCTTAATTGAACTTGCTGACCAGCTATTTAAAAGTTACCATTGGATCGGAGCCCACATGGCAACAAATGATATTGCATGCCAGTACACTTATCTTTCCAGCTTCAGCCTGTTGGTTATGGGCTGGCTAAATACCTGCTGGAGCTGACCCTCCTGGACTATGCCTCAGTTCACTATCCACCATCCCTCACCGCTGCTGCAGCTGTTGCTTTATCATTCAGGATCTTTCAAGATTCTGCTGGTTATGAATGGGTCAGTAATGAGCAACTAATATTTTAGACTTATGTGAAGTGTATGAAACTAGACACTTAACCCATAATCATTCGATTTTTGGGGGGGGGTTATGACTCCTGATAAAGGTACAGTTATGGAGTGATATTTGTCAACAGAAGTGTTTAAGTTGTAACTGAATTGATACTTAATGTTTGCTTCATAGACCCCAGCCCTGCAGCACTACACAGGCTACACAGAGCTCTCTCTGCTACCTGTGATGCAATGCATTGCCAAGATGCTGGAGCGCTTGAGTGATGGCAGCATGAAACAGTTGGTGAGCCCAGCCTTTAGATTACTTTTAGCCCAGTGATGTACTGTAGGGCCACACAGTGATGTTTAACTGAAACCCTTTTTTTTCTCCAGTCAATCAAGCAGAAGAAAACCTCAAACTACTCAGGGTCAGCTGTCTCCCAGAGCTGACCTCTACCAGGGCTTACGCCTACATTAACAAACTATCCAACTCTCACTGTTGACACAAATTATTTACCCTATGTTTTTAGCACTTTTTAAACAATTTTTTTGATAAATCTATAGTTTTCAATAGCTTGTCTTGATTTTAAAATGGTATTGGAAAATGGTAAGCACCACATTGGGATCCACAGCAGACTCCTGCATCAGGGTGTTTAACTAAAAACGAGGGCTGATCAAAGTGAAACAGGGATTGGATGGGATAAAAGGAATTGCTCCATCTGCCTTCAACGTGTATGGCAAGATTTCAGCGAAGATTTGTATTTTTTTCTATCGTCAATGCATGGCGCTGCTGCCTCTCCCAGGGGCCTTTCAGGGTTAAACTCCTAGCTGCACATTGCTCCTTGCTTGGGGGTGTGTAGTTATTAAATATTGCTTAATAAAAAGCCACTGCTGCAGCCTGGGCTTCTGCTAATGTGGGCTGTTGCTGTGATGCGTCTCCATCTAAAGGAAATAAGACTTGTCTGATTGCAAAGTCAATTAGTGTTTACCACATGATCTCAAGGTCCCTCTGATGGGGCAGCAGACCTAGGAGAGATTTAGCTAGCTTCTATTGCTCTGCCTGTTTGTGGTGATGCAGTTCTATTCATTATATTGTCCTCCAAGTGTTGCTGAATCGCCCCTCTACTTCAGTCTGTTCCTCAATTCATCCACCTTGGTTGGAAAGTGAGGTAGCGGCAGCGTTCCTTTCCCTCTGGCAATGCATTTCCAGACAAGTACACACTGACTGCAACTTCCAAAAACGTGATAGTGTATAAGTTTCAGGTTTTTATTAAATACTGGGTCTTACAGATTTTCCCATCAGTTTGTTGTGGGAGGATAGCCTGACGCTCTAGTCTAGATAAACTTGTATCAGGCTTTGCAGTAAGGGAGGGATTTGTGGTGGGACTAGTAGTACCTGCATTAACCTGTACCTCTCCTCACTGGTCATGTGCAATCAGATCAGACTTCAGTGGCCATCTGGAGATGAAAGCGGTCTAGTTTGCACAAGAGCAGGAATTTTACCCTTCAGTCCAACTGCACGGTCATTGAACAAACCTTGGTCTTGCCTACACATGGACACTTGATCCAATGAAGAGGGACAAGGAACTCCCATGATCCTGAATAAAGGCAGCCTACCTCAGCTGGGTGTTCATTGAGCATTGTGATAATATTAGGGGAGATCTCTTCACATGATTCTCATCCACATTAATCATTGTAGGAGCCTTTTTGGCCTATTTATGTGGTTATGTAGTGTATAGTTTGTCTTATATTTAACTTAATAGAGGGCACGGTCACTGGTCACATAGGCACACAGGTATGGAGCATGTAGTTCTTAGAATGCTCACAGTTTCCACTTTGGAACATTTATATGGGCCTATAGTAATCACGTCTGCCTGTATGGAATTGATATTTTTATTTGCTTTTAAATGGGCAAAAGACCCAACCAAGGTCTACCACTAGATAGCAGTTGTGTTTTGCACGCGTTTTTAAATATTTTTAATCCCACGTGTTAATGGCTATCAGGGACTTTTACTAAATTATCAACTGCAACCGCATATTATTAGTGAACAAACATGGACAATGTAACGACTCACGGATATTAATGTAAAACCAAGCATTTATTAGGCTAAATTAACAATCAGTCCGGTAGGTGGCAGTGAATGTTCTCAGGTATGAGGACAGGGAAGCGTATCCCACGCTTGCACAAGCGCTCTCCCATGTTGCGTAGCGGAGAGGACTTTGCTGTCAGATCAAAAGTGTCAGAGTTGCAGGAGATCCGAAAGTGCATTCTCTTGGTCAGCACAGTGTCCACGGACGGAGTAGGAGCTGGAGAAACAATCAGAAGCCAGTCGAGGTGGTCTATAGGAACACAACGCACAGGAAAAGAGTAGGAGGATAGTGGCAGGAAAGGTGCAACGAAATATTTCAATAGACTTGTGAGCAATGCACTGGCAGCATGGCCAGATGGTTCAAGGAACACCTAGGATTCAAAACTACCAAAGCACCACCTCCGGCGCCCCCGAAACCGGACTACAGACATTGTCACGCCGCTGTGACCGGTACGCCTGGCTACCAACAACCAAGCTCCGGGGCCACCTCGCTCTATCCAAGCCCCGCACAGCCGGACATTCTTGCTGCTTACAAACTACAAAAGGAACTGGACTTCGAAGACCCGTACACGGGAGGAGGAAATATTTCGTTTGGAACTGGTCTGGGCTCTGTGGGGTCGCCGGACATAAAGTATGTGTCACCAAAGCACCGGCTTATAAAGGTGGAAACAATCGAGAAAAGCAACTCTACTCCGGGCAGCGGTATCATAGTCCAAGCTGTTGCTGTTGGGAACGTTAAATCTCCCACTTCACCACCTCCTGAACATGAGAATAAAGAAAAGGTGCGTTTTTATTTATTATTATTTTGTGTAGCCTTGAGCCTACCTCTCCAATATCCCACACCGGTAACCTTGTAGCTTTTTATAGCACTATAGCCTACACAACTTTGAATCAATCTATACACCTAGGTTCAATTAAAGAGATGGTTCAATAGTTCTGTGATGTGGGCGATTACATTTTCACTATTCAAACCCATTGATTACCATTGAAAGCAGTGGATCAGACCGTGTTCTATCATGTGTGGACTTTCTCAAACAGGGAATGGATAATTGAAACCGGGAGAACTACACTGAACAAATATAAATGCAACATTCAACAATTAAAGATTTTACTGAGTTACTGTTCATAAGGAAATCAGGCAGTTGAAATAAATTCATTGGGCCCTAATCTATGGATTTCACTTGACTGGGAATACAGATATGCGTCTGTTGGTCACAGAAACCTTAAAAAAAAAAAAAAAAGTAGAGTTGTGGATCAGAACCAGTCAGTATGTGGTGTGACCACCATTTGCCTCATGCAGCGTGACACATCTTTGAGTTGATCAGGCAGTTGATTGTGCAATGTTGTCTCACTCCTCTTCAATGGCTGTGTGAAATTGCTGGATATTGGTGGGAACTGGAACATGCTGTCGGACACGTTGATCCAGAGCATCCCAAACATGCTCAATGGGTGACGTTTCTGGTGAGTATGCAGGCCATGGAAGAACTGGGACATTTTCAGCTTCCAGGAAGTGTGTACAGATCCCTGTGACATGGGGCTGTGCATTATCATGCTGAAACATGAGGTGGTGGCAGGTGGATAAATGGCTTGACATTGGGCCTCAGGATCTCTTCATGGTATCTCTAGATTAAATTGCAATTGTGTTCATTGTCGGTAGCTTATGCCTGCCCATACCATAACCCCACCGCCACCATGGGGCACTCTGTTCACAATGTTGACATCAGCAAACCGCGCGCCCACACGATGCCATACACTGTCTGCCATCTTCCCAGTACAGTTCCTTAAATGTAAGATATTACAATCTATCCACCTAGGTTCAATTAAAGAGATGGTTCAATAGTTATGTGATGTTGGCATTTACAATTCACTATTCAAACGCATTGGTTACTGTTGAAAGTAGTCGATCAGACCATGTTCCATCATGTGGGGACATTCAAACAGGGAATGGATTGTTGAAACTGGCAGAACTACACGGTGTATATGTCACTGTTCTCTCACACCTTTTGAACTGGGCCTGTGTGAAGGTGCCCAAGTGCATGTTTTCAAATAATCCAGACCCAGGTTCATTAAACTCTCTGCTCACCAAGCAAAATCTACACTTTTATAACTCATCTCTGTACTCTAGTCTACTTTGTCGCTGTCATCAACAGAAATAGTGTGTGGACCGGAGACAGATGGCAAGGACGCTTATGCAGTCAGTCAGTGTACACCATGTGCCCTGAAGCCTACTGCTTTTTAGGAACACACATACACTGGTTCATTGGAAGAAACCTGAGACATTCAATGTCAGTGATGTTAAGGAATGTACATGCCTCTCCGTCCAGCGCAGGCAGGGAGGAGGACCCAGGAAAAGCACAAGTGTGCATGTGTGAGAGAAAAGTGCAGAAGTATTTCTCAACGCTGCCAACACCCATACTGCATAACTCCGTCTACTATTCCCTGCTCTGAAACCCTAACTAATCACCTGTTGCCAGGTATTTGTTTACTCAACCTTACTACGTCAGACAAGATCATAGTAGTTTAGGTAGAGCACAACCAAAACCTTATGCAAAGTAAGGCTGCGTATTTACAATTCTGTTTATGAAATTCCTTAGTCCCATAAACAGGTTACTTCCTCTCTCCACACCTCCTGTTGTAAGGTGCGGTTTGTTCAGTGTTGAGGGTGCCTGCCTGCCATTCCATAGGAGTTTTTCTATTTCAGTTCAAGTAGTGGTCATAAAATATGCCAGTAAGCAGTGTCGTACAGCAAAGGAACATGACAATTGGCAAGCCATTTAAAAGCTTGAAAAACCTCCATATAATAATTGTACAGTGATTTGCGTATTCAGAAATGGTCTTTTCATTTCTGAAAGTAGTTTCTCGTATGCAGCTGTCATCACATTCAACAATGCAGTGGTTTTTTTAATTGAATGATGAACAATGTTCCAGAGTTGACGAAATTAAAATAATGGCAAACTGAAGACTCTGTTTCCTCACAGCAACTGACTGCTGTTGGCTAATTAAACGGATTACCGCTGTCTCCTCTTAATTGGGGCTTATTTTGATCTCGGTAGTCAATTAGAGAAGGCATTCTCAAGCAGGAAAATACTGTTGCCTCGGTCTCCCCCCAACCCCCCTTTTTGCAATGGGCACTGGGCACATTTTAGATTTGAGTCATTTAGCAGACGCTCTTATCCAGAGCGACTTCCAGTTAGTGAGTGCATACATTTTCATAATGTTGGAGGAGCTGGCAGCCAGGCAGATTGTTCTGTAACATGGTTTAAAAATCTCGCGCACTCAAACATGAGCATGATGAAATTGTATCAGATCCATGTGAGTGGTGGGTGAGTTAGAGGGGATTCTGATTCAGAAGACTGGATT